TAAGAAACGGAAAAAATAATATATGTATATTAGTTCCCATATATGACCATTTTAGCAACATGAATTACGAGAAAAACAAAATAAAAAATAAAAAATAAATAAAAGTGCTTTCGTAAACTAGCGCTTGCTATAAAATGCGCCGCCTCAGACTTTATCTAGTAAATAAATATTCAAAACTCTCAACATCGCTGGGCTTATTCAAAGACCTTGCGTGTATAGATGATAGATCACTGGGGGGAGCTTATTTAGGCACACTCGATGACCCCTGATGTCACAGGGCATTGTTTTCCAGTGTGACTTGCAACAAAATACTACAAATTACATCATAGGGCATTGTCACGTGTTTGAAAAGTTTGTGGTACTGTATTCTAAAGGCAGGCCGTAGTTTCATACATTATAGATATACATTGATAAATAAAGTATTGAAATAAAATAGCATTGCAATGTTCTAAATATTAATTATACCCCTGACAAAATGTCAGGGGTATATAGTTATACCAAGGTTCCGTCCGTCTGTCCGTCCGTCCGTCCGTCCAAAAACTTTGTCCGCGCGATTTCTCTTAAACTATTCAGGGGATTCATCTCAAACTTAGTACATATAATCTGTGTCATATGGAGGGGTGCAGTCAAAAGAACAAAAAAATTGTTATTAGTTTTCCATTTTTTTATGAATTTTTCAAACCCTAACGTCCATCCAAAAACTTTGTCCGCGCGATTTCTCTTAAACTATTCAGGGGATTCATCTCAAACTTAGTACATATAATCTGTGTCATATGGAGGGGTGCAGTCAAAAGAACAAAAAATTTTTTATTAGTTTTCCATTTTTTTATGAATTTTTCAAACCCTAACGTCCATCCAAAAACTTTGTCCGCGCAATTTCTCTTAAACTATTCAGGGGATTCATCTCAAACTTAGTACATATAATCTGTGTCATATGAAGGGGTGCAGTCAAAAGAAAAAAATGTTTTTATTAATTTTCCATTTTTTTATGAATTTTTCAAACCCTAACGTCCGTCCAAAAACTTTGTCCGCGCAATTTCTCTTAAACTATTCAGGGGATTCATCTCAAACTTAGTACATATAATCTGTGTCATATGGAGGGGTGCAGTCAAAAGAAAAAAATTGTTTTTATTAATTTTCCATTTTTTAATGAATTTTTCAAACCCTAACCAGGGTCTCCCCTGACGCAGAATTCTTGAGTATATGACTCTCAATTAAGGAAAAATACGTCCAGAAATAAAAGAATGCCTCATGACTGACGCAATTTAAAAATATCTATGTTGTTGTTTACCAGCTTTGGAATGAAAATATGACAACTACTAACCTGAACTTAATTTATAAACATTTTCCGAAGACAATTTATGCAAACGTCTAAAAATTTACGTCTAGTTTTTAATTAATCGTCGTTTTTAGAAGTAACATAACTTCGCATAACACCACTGCCACGGGCTAATTTGCATGGGCTAGCCTGTCACATGACCAGACTTTTTTCTCGTTTTAAAACAAACGCTAAAATCAGAACAGCCGGGGGCTTTAAATATTGTTTTGCATAATTATATAGATGTGCTACTAAAACTGTGCGACTGAGGTACAGGACAAAATATATTTATTCATCAAAGTGAACGTAACTCTCACACTCCGTGTGGCTTCGATGTCAGCACTTGATGTAAACAAAGGAAAACTCCGCGGAAGTTTTTCACGTTTCGGCATATTTTCTCACTAAAAGTTAACCATGACATATGTTTATCTAGATGTGTAGACTCATAAAAAATGAAACAGAAGAAAATATTATCATTGTTGCGGTGAATAATGTGATTTGGTGCGGTCACGGTATGTGGTTAAGCGGAACCTATGGAACGGGGTAAATGGAAGTTGTAAGTATCGGAGGGACACATGTTTTTGCCGAAATTTAGGTAAACATTATTGAATGAAATTTTAATAAAATTAATAAAATAGATGACAAACATAAGGTCAGATATACAGAGAACACATTTTTATTACCAGATAGTGTAACAACAGGATTAACTTGCATAATTCAATTCGGATTTGTTATGCTATTTCCGATGACGGATCATGACAGCCTGAAATGAGACTGAAGAAAAGTCTGTGTGTGAGAGATATTTTTTTCAGGATTTAATTGCCCATAATTAGGGGTGCGTATTATACACGAGTGTGTATTATACATGCATAAATATGGTATATGCGAAATGTAAAGCTTTGGGCGTGTTTGTTGTTGCTAATAAACTGTATTCAACCAGAAAATATTACGAGTGTTCACAATTCTTCAGTTCAACTTCACTGTTGATAGATAATACAAGATAACTAGATAAAAGATGTAAATGAGTTAGTGGTATTAAATTATAATCTGACATGAAATGTATTTTAATATCCATCCATGATTAAAAATTATGTCTCACAGTTGAGACTGATGTTATTTATTCATCCTGTATTAGTGTCACTGTAAATTGTTTCATGAGCTGTGAAGTAATTGTGAAAAAATAAAACCAACAAACTTTGTATTTCATTCATATATCCTTTATTTCTCTGTAGTACAATCAGCTGAGAACATTAATTAGCTCTTGTTAACTTAAACTAAAGACATATAATATTTAAAAGATACTTAATATTTAAAAGATAAGTACTTTAAGTGTAACATTAATAGTGAACACTCTAAATTTCATTAATCATACAATAAAACATTTGACTCTCAAAAAATATTTTTGACTCCCAAAAATTCATAGGCTGAGTTAAGGTGAGTCTCAAATATTGGAGTCAAGGGGGAACCCTGCCTAACCCTATCCTAGCTATTGAATTTGTAACTACTGACACACTAGGCAGGGGTATTAGTGAGCCACGCTCACTTTTGCACTTGTTCATAAATACATTGCCACATGAACCAAAACATTCAATAGTTATCTGTATTGAAACAATGTTTAATCTAAATGCCATGTAAGCAATGACTTAATTTGTGGTGTCTAAGTATCAATGTAAACAAACCTGAAACCCTATAATCCAACCAAAAAAACCCACCAATATCCTAAAATAACCTTGTCGACACCACTTAATTACCTCTGTATTCAGGTATTCAGTGAGTCTAGACAGCACCCTACTTACAAGGGGCTAACCACCTAAAACAATAGCTGTCACCTACCACCTAGTTTAGTGTCAATATGGTAATCTGATGATCATCAATCTGATGATTGGCTTTTCATCGCAGTGAAAAGTATGGTATGTTAGTGCAGCTATAAACAGAAGTGGCCTCGCCTCTATCGATTCACCACCAGTTGCACAGCGTGTGCACGTTTTGTGGGTCATCCAGTATTTATCTTTTGTCGGGACAGGTATGAACACAATTTATTATGTCTTTTTTTGCTAAATGGGATTTTCAGATTCAGTGGACATAAAAAGTCTTAACTGAGATTAATTTTTTTCTGCTTTTTATGGTCAGTGTTCCATAAACAAATTAATGAAATAAAATATGCCTTGGTGTAGATCTGTGGTTATTTTCATGGCAGTCCTGATGTTGATTGATCTATAATGCAATCTGTTGTTGATTGAAGAGTTCAGTTTTGTGTATATTCTCTTCTGCAAGTGGCCTGTAAACAATCAGCAATGTCTTTGCGTTCGTGTAAAACATCAACATTCATTGTAGGCCTGTATAAGGCCATCCCCCCTCCACACAACTGAATTTATTTTTTTTCAAAATGTGTGCACGCTACACACAAGAAAATACAGTACTCCTATTTTAAAGTCTCTATTGGTCTCCCAGGGAAGAGTTCACTGACATTAATATTTTGTAAACTCAGACTCATGGAGACAAAAGGTGATGCTCTTCCTCTTATGTAGGGAGATAACACAATCATATCTGATATCATGTGTAGCAAGTGTGGCAAGTCTGGAGAGAATCATAATGGGAATGACACTAAAGCTACAGTTCCAGTTTCTGCTCTGTCAGAGTTTGGTGCAAAATATTTTTTCAATACCTACCGACCATGTTTTCACAGAAGACCCAAACAATTGAAAGTGTTTTTTTCTTTTTTTTTGACCACTGACTTCATGTTTGGGGTTTTATGCTCTTTTGAACACTCTTACAGTTTTGTCAAGACCTAAGGTATTTAAAAAATAATTATGTAAGACATATACTAAATTCCAAAAGAAACGCTCTTTTGATTTTGTAACTTCCAATCTCATTGATATCCAATAAAAGTGAACAACTTTCACAACAAAAGACACACATAGCTAAGTTTTTAGCATGTCTGGAAATGTTCCATGCATTCGTTTTAGATTTGAAACAGAAAAGAAACTGTTCATATCCATGAGACAAATTTGTTAGAATGTGTCTTTCTGAGGACGTGCTAAGAGCAACATGCACACTTGTAATGTGAAACATGGATTGATTGGTGTGGAAGGCGCACATGAAAGTTTTGTAGAGACATGGTTATCATCCTTTCTCACTTGCACCAACACCACCTACCAGCATCAACTACTGCTGCCAGACAGACAATTACAACCCACCACAGACCTGTGTCAGGAAACTCAGTGCATCAGTTGTCATTGGCTAATCTCAGGTGGCGACATCCAAACTTTTGGATGTGCGTTGTTTTTGTTTTTATTGAGTATATTATAATCCATAAAAGTACACTAACAAGTATCATTCGATAGATGCCGAAATACAAATTTATAGATGTGCCCACAACATTAACTAGTATGCAAATTCAAAGCAATCTATGATATTCATTTTATATTTGAATCCTCTAACAAAACTACCTTTTGTGTGAGCAGCTGCGTCAATAGTACCTTATGAGGGAAAACAATGTTTCTTCACTGAGTATTGATGTATAAGATTTTGTAGCGGAAAATTTGCATTTATACATAATACAGTGTATTTTTATATAATCGAAAAAATAATTATGTGGAACATATCTGTGCAGTTTGATTGTTTCAAGCTGTATTAAATTTTTTCACTCAGATGGTAACATTGTGTGTGATAACTGTTATAGAAACAATATGAAGAAGCTGAGAAATGGTTCAAGAAGGCATCTGCCATTGATTCCAAGGATGCCAGTATAGATCACCACTATGGTAAGTAGCGGACCTGCTCCAACAGTCACACATCTTTGTACTCACTCATTCTTCCAATAGTAATCATCACTTCAATATCTCAAAGTCAGGTCAGGCTACTCGTGAACAAAAGAATACCTAAAGATACTGTCATGATCCATAGCCAATTCTAGTCAGGCAATCTCAGTTACAATGGCCTAGTTTGAAGCACAGTGGAGTTAACGCCTCTTTTCTTTCTGTGTGTGTATAACCTCTCTGTCGTCTTTCATGTCATAGTGAAAACTTAATTTCCCTCATTTATGTTAAATTTATTTTTGTATTGAATATGTAACATTATACACAGAGTAGTATAGGTAATGATGGTTCTGGCTCACTTCCACTGGAGTCAGATTTATATACCTATACTGCTACTACAGATGGAATTTTTTATGTCAAAATGATGATGCAATTCAAAGATCCTCATGACATTAAACTAAATTGTAATGAAAATATTCTCTATTATTTTTACTCATACGTATACCATTATTTTTAACATAGTGATATTCAACATTTTTACTAAGTTCTTCGTTCATTTTACTAGGAGACCAGACTATATACTCTTCTTGGTAATTGGAAAGAAACAATTGATGACCGTATTTGGTTGGTTTGACATCACTAATATAATATATACCCTGTGGTAATTCTCTCCATTTGATAATTTTGTCCCCTAGCATAAATGCTTCGATAGCTTTTTCGAGTTCTTCCTTTCTTGGTTTGTAATTCTCCATTATTATATATTTATGTAAGCATTCGTTTAAATGTGATCCAACGATAGGAAGCAATCTATTTTTAATCTCCAACCAGTTCTTTGGTTTTGGCACGGAATAATTGACGCGCTTGTTGTGACCCCTGTTCTATGAACTTTTTTTTCTCGTCTTCGCTAATACCACTGGTCTTACGAGAATTTGATCGAATCTCCTGCTTCATTATGTTGTATTTGGTGAGTTCTGACAGCACTAAACGAAACTCCTCCTCGGATATCTTACAATCAGCCATTGCTGTTGAAATATGCATATGGTCCTCAATGCTGTTCAACTTTGCTTCGGCGAGTATCCGAATATTATCATGTTTTAATGCTTTCTTTTGCAACTTACGAGAAATAAATTTTATTGCTACTCCTGCCAGTCCTGAGACTCCGGCAGCTATTTCCATGCCAAGTACGATAGGCGCCGCGATAGGTGATAATAAACCAACACCGGCTACACCGAGTCCCATACTAGCTGTTACAAGCGCGGTGTCAACTCGGTCGAGAGCATTCACGGCTCTGCGATACTTTTTATACAATCCAAGTCTCAACTCCCTCTCCTTTTCTATTCAATGTTTTATTTCGCTTATTTGATGTAATCGAAATCCATCAACAGTATCCATCTTTTTATCGACCGCAGGATATAAATCCATAATGTATATTATTATATCATATAATAGTCTTTAATTGGTCTTGCTTCAATGTTTTGAGAGTATACATCAGCCTTATTAAATGTATATTATACGGCATAAATATCTTAGTAAGGGAAATGCTATCACTTTAATTAACTTGGACCCCCTCAAGGGTTGCAACGGATGATGCTCCTACATAAATAATACTACAACGTCGACGCTTGAGCCATTAAATCGATAGACCTGGTAATATCTTGAAGGCCTCTTCTGGTATATCTCCAAACAAGACTTCAATAATAAGCGTAGAAGGATTATGTATTGCACTCAAGTTCTGGTTTATATCATTGAATTCAGTAACCAAATTTAAACTAACATTTTTTAATGCTGGACGACTCAATAACACATGACCTGGGTTTTCTGGCAGGGGAGCGACTAACACACTTTTTCGTTTTGAGGGGATATAAGCCCTGAGTACGATCCCACTATTCATTATCTTAGTTAATTGATGTCCCTTACCCATCATCACATATGGTGGGGTAATGACAATATTCAATAGCCACTCGATTTTTTCTTCGATCATAGTCCATTTATTATCATTGTTGCGAGTAAGATTGTATGAAGTGTGTTCATTGAGTCTACTAACGTCAACATCGCTTAAATCTCCTAGATTACCTGGGAATGCAACTTCTTTCCCTTTGTATACATTATCTTGTAAGTATAAAGCGTATAACTTGCCATCAGTACCAGGTTTACCTAATCCTTCTGTGTCTCTGAGATAGGAAAGCGCAATTGTATTACATTGTCTGAGTGTTCCAGGGCCTGATGAATCAGCCATTATTTATAATATGGAGTATTACACTCAAGTATCCTATATGTACAGGTTGATGTTTTACATCTAATACAGAAATTTTGAGGTCTGAAATAATACCCCGCTTTAATTTTTTATATTGTAATGATGAGAAAGATTCCGTTCTACCGCTATTATATTTTTCTTCTTTGACTGGAATAGCTCTCAGCATAGTTGAAGGACTTTGGAGTTGAATATTATCCGTCGTACTTATCTGATCAAGATGGATGCACAACTCTTTATAGGGAACTAAATCGGGTAATGTAACTCCATACCGTGTTGCATGGGGCGGTATTGCTACATCTCCTTTACTATCAAATCCAAGTGTATCTGCTAAGTTCTCTTTAAGAATTACAAGCTTTTCTTCAGTGTTATAAATCAGCATCCCATTAGACTCATTTTGTGTGAGACTAAGTCCATTAGGCTTAAACATTTCATCATTGAGTGAGCATACACTGTAATACCCATCAGATATAAAGATGTGAATGAATTTAGTATTGTCACTATCAATTATAAATCTATCATTATATCTCGCAGCATTTATATTGGTCAACCGCGGGTAATACGTTACATCACATAGAGCGACTTCAAGTTGGCCATTCGAGTTATCGATAGTATGAAGCAGTTGAATAGACTGATCATTTGTTATTCCCCGGAGTGTAACATACATATTAAATATACAAAAATACTATATCATAACTTAAATATGAAATCAACTTACATTACTAATCAGTCGATTTTAGAAAGTGCCTCTGGTGCTAATTTTTTGGTTGAATTCCCTGATATCTTTGAAAAATATAGGGTCACGGCAACTAGTGATAAAATGGTGCACGATTGGTTTCACAATCCAATGCAATTTTGGCAGAACCAGTTAAACTTTGCCGTATGGTGTGCCACAACAGGATGTGCTGTATCTCTTAATGCCTCGGATTTGAACTAAATAAGTCTGTTTTATCAATTCACGTGTACTATCAGATTAGACGTATACTTAAAGAAATTAGTGCCCCATTACCGCAGGATCGAGCATGGAATTCTACAAATAATTCGTACAATAGGTTCGCGTATGAGCGTATTTGTCAGGAATTTAATATTTCTACGAGTAAAGATTGGCGTATTAAAGGACTTAACCATGGTCTAGGTGTTCCGTACAGCGGAAAAAGAACTGTTAAAGAAGAAAGCGGTGAATTAGTTAAAAAACTCATCAACCTTTCGATCCATTTAATCTTTTTGTAAGATTGCATAATCTTAATCATGGCTGGGAACTCTCTAGTAACGATTGAAGAGGAGATCTTATGAGTTTTAAGGGTGGTTTAGCTTATATTGTTACAAAATTTGTACAACTGAACGATACCGCAAACGCTTGGAATGAATTTCTTAATGATAAAACAGAAAATAATTTTACTAACCCAGGAGTTGAATCAATAAGTGATTAGTTATAATAATAAAATTGTTATTGCTTCTGATCAGCAAAAAACAGGTATAAATTCAGATATTAACACCAAATTAATAACGCAAACAAACACAGGCGAAATGGGAAAAGTAAAGCCACAGACACCACAACAACCATCTACTGACGCACAACCACAAGTGCCACCACATATTGCAGCTAAAAATCAACAACATATCGATGAAAAAACAGCGCTTATAGTAGGTGGAGTTGCGGCTGGTTTACTCATGATTTGGTTAAATAGTTCTTAATGGGATAAATAGTCTTTAGCGGATACATACAACAGCCCTGCAATTGCTACGATCAGTGCCTACAAGTTTTGACTAAGCCAAGTGGTGGTCTTACCATAAAAGAACATGCGTTATAACCTTAAAAGTGTCTAAGACTGATACCTTCCGACGAGGCGTTCACATTGCCTTATTCGCTACTGACACTATGACATGTCCCTACTCGGCCTTGTCAAAACTGTATTCCATTAGAACGCAGTGCAGGGCTGCATACCAGGATCCGCTGTTCGTCAGTCGGGACTATCTACCAATATCCAGGACTGTGTTTTTGTCATGGTTAGATAGGGTCCTCACGTTGACTGGCTACAACTCCACCGACTACTCCGGGCACTCATTCCGGATAGGAGCAGCTACCACGGCGGCCACCGTGCACATCGAGGATCACCTCATTAAGACTATGGGCAGGTGGACGTCGGACTGTTACGCCAAGTATATCAGAACGTCCGACTCCACCTTAGGGCAAGCCCACAAGGCTATGTGTCACCATCACTAAGTACCATATTCATGTTATTTACCTATATTAATTCTTTGGGGGCTCTCGGTTGCTAACCTCGTTTGGGCGTCATAAGCCACTCCATATTCAGAGCATGGAAGGCTTGTGGCCCCCAAAGAACTTACGCTATTTCGGTACTGTCCGGTCAGCACGACCAGTACTAGCTTAACTCTAGGGATCGTCCGGGTCATCGGACCCCAGGACCGGCATATCCCTCTCACAGCTACACAGTCCGGGTCCATAAGACCCCAGGACATTGTTATCTTACCCGGGTCTCCACGACCCCAGGGTGTCAACCCGGGTTACTTCGACCCCAGGGTCTCTTAGGCAACCGAGGCAGCCCCCATGTTGTGCCAAATGTTTATGTTAATATCTGTATATAATAAAACTTCCTGCTATGTAATACATTTCATGTTGTTTGTGGCACAAAACAGCGCTTATAGTAGGTGGAGTTGCGGCTGGTTTACTCATGATTTGGTTAAATAGTTCTTAATGGGATAAACAGTCTTTTGCGGATACATACAACAGCCC